AAATTAATCGCCCGACTGCGCCAGTCTATAGTATATGCTCCCGGTTACCCGTAACTCGAAGTTTCTGTTAACTGGTATTTATAGTGTAGTCTGACCATTTCATGGTTTGGCGTTCGCCCTTTTCTAACAATTTTTAATGGATTTTTTTTTATTGACAGTGGATTTTCCCATCATTCAACATCTGTTATCATGTAAACATGTATTATTAAATGATTTACCAGATTACATGTAGTATGTATAACAAGTCCGCAGTGTCAATGACAAGTCCCCGTCCAGTTTTTAGTGACTGCCATTTTACATGAGCTCCCTGTGATTATTGCCAAATAATTATTTATCATATTCATGTTCCAGATATGATACAAAGTGAAGTCAGTTTATTTGTGTGATTCCTCCCTTTATTCTGTCCATGACATTTATAATGCATTTCTAGTAAGAAAATGGCGATCAGCCATTATGTATCAGATTCTGAAATACTAGTAGATGTATGTGCAAATGTGTAAAATCTTAACATGATCAGTCCAGCCATAATAGCAATATGGTTCCAAAAACAGCATTCGTTAAAACAAAATATTATAGCCACCAGTCAGCCATTTTGAATCAAACTGAATGTGTCATACCAAGTATGAATGATATATGTTCATGCACGATCGAGATTCAGTTCCGGAATGGTAGAAATTCTTGATTTTGTTGAATTTACCACTAAATTGTCCGCCATTCGACCAACTTGAATTGGATCAATAAATAAATGCAAGTGCTCATGCATGATATTATCAGGGGGGAATTCTTCTCTCTGGGTTCTCCACACTTGCCAGGGGGGGGGGGGGATCTCGTCTCGTCTCTCTATCTTGTCCCCTTGAGGTACGGGATCCAGGAAGTCACTTAAGCTTTACAGTCAAATAAGACAAGCACAACGAAATACGTTTCAACTCTCGTCTTAGTCGGACAGTCGAGCACTCTATAAGACACAGTGCCCTGGGGAAAAATCCCCAAGACTATCGCAAGGCTGAACCAAGACTCGCCCAAGACTCTCTAGGACTGGACTTAGACTGCGTCTATCGTGGAGTACCCGCCAAGACCAACTCAAAACTCTCTTTATTCATTTTCAAAACCTTAACCAATTACAATGCAGTAAAAAGACTCTAAGGCGTAACCTTCAATCATACAGCCAATCAAACTAAGTACTGAATACGTCATATCTTTTGATTAATCGTTCACTACATTAATAACTGCCATTAATAACAGAAATAGTAGTCCGAATAGCGACGGTTATCTCGTAATTAGTTCCAAATCACTGAGCCAAGTTCCGTTCAAAACTTGAAATAGGCCTAAACGATGACAGACATAACACAGCAATTCGCTCGTAATCAGCTAATTAAGTCGATCAACAGATACGCGTAAACTAATTCATGACAATATGATATGTTTGTGGTCCTCTTCATCCCAAACCTGGATATAAGGCTGCAATCAGGTTCTTCCATTCCTGTCTACTCCAGGTCAGGTTTGCTTGGGCACATTCTGTGGTAATGGTTTTTCTCCATGTGGTTTTTGGCCTCCCTCTGTTTTGTTTACCCCGTGGCGTCCAGCGAAGTGCTGTTATGAGAATTGAGTCTTGTGGTATTCTGAGAACATGACCCAGTCTTCGGCTCGTTATGTCCTGAGAATGTGTCATCATTGGTGATGATCACTGGCCAGAATATTTTGCAAATTCGCCTTAGGTAACCATTGTGGAAATGTGATAACTTGGTCATGTCGGTTTTTGTTAGACGCAATCATTCGGAAGCGTAGAAGACAAATTTGAGTTTAAGTTTCTGATGTGTGATATATGTATAAAGTTTGAATGTGGTCGGTAAAAACATGTCGGAAATATCATTCTGGAACTGCATTTTCTCTGCAACTGCAAATGGCCGCCAGTCGATCAATTTCATTCTGATCTGAAAAAATGACGTGCAAGGACCCAATATGTTCAATTGACATGCCAAGTTTGAATAAAATATGCCCATCTATGGCTGAGATGCGCTTCCCAAACAGCAGAAATGCTTGATTTTAATGATTTATTGCACTAAATTGGCCATCATTCGGTAATGTACGTATGTATGATATGTGTGTGAAGTTTGAATGCAACCGGCTTAGGCATGTCTAAGATATAAGCGCAGACAGACAGACGGGAGGACGCATGCACGGACGTACAGGGAGAAATTACAAGTAATATCCGCTATTACTCAAGTGTGCAGTTTCGTATTAAAGGGCGATGGTCGTCGCGTCGTGTCCTGTTCGATATGGGACTCATAGCGACGTATACAACGCGGGTAAAATACTAGTACATTGTTTTTTTGACATGAAATTCGAGCAAGCGCTCTTAAAGTTTATCCGCAGTCCTTCCAATCTGATTAAAAAAAGATCCCGGTTGACTTAATTTTTTTACTTTTATTTTAATATACATTTTATTAATTTTATTATTATCATTTATTTTAATATTTGCTTTTACAATACATTTGCTGCACTAGGTGCTTTCATAAAGTTTTAACAAAATAATTGTAACGTCAAAAAATAATTAAAATAAATAATAATTATATAAAAAAAATTAAGCCAACCAGGATTATATTTTAATCAGATTGCAATACTATCTCATGGAAGGACTATGGTTTCATACTGGTTTCGTATTTTTGTCTACTGTTTTATACCACGAGAATGAAACCACGCATATTCAACCGGTACACCAAAATAAAGTTTCACCAAATTATATATATCCTAAATGCTTGATATGTATGATGTTATTTATATAATA